AATCGTCATCCCTATTATTTATGTTCGATCGATTTAAGAATGTAGTAAAAGGAAATGGTATTTTTGTTGAGGTCGAGAATAGTTTGAAAGCGTAAACAAAAGGGTTTCAAGCTGTGAAGGTTTATCGTTGTGAATCAAACAAAACGTCGGATCTGTTTGCACTGACGGGTTGTAAACGTCGGCCGGGTGGAGGTTTGTCTCGAGTTCTCTTAAACCGTTAATATTTCCACGTCCCTCTCGTGATCCACGATTTGTCACATAACGTCTCGACGGTTTTCTCGCAATACTTGTATCAATTTTCCGCATACTGTTTTTCACCATGATTGAACAACAGTCCGAATCAGGTTGGGTTTCGTCCGTTTAAACATTCCTGGTTTGTACGTGTTATTGCGACGTTGATAGACGACAGTGTCCGTAGTTCCAGGAAAAAAGAAACGGTTCGCGTGTATGAGATCCGACGGTTGTCAGACGTGAACACGCTCCTTTCTAATTAACGAGCCGGTTGTTAATTAGTTTAGTTCATTTTCAAAAACGAGTAATAATCGGTAAACCGTGGATTGTGTTTGTCAAAGATGACCGCGGCCGGGCCGGGCTACGTGGCTCATTACGAGCTGTTCTCATTCTTCAAGAAGACGGCGCCGAGGCCGATTAAAACGCAACACAGCCCGGCCGGACGTGTTTAATCTAACTTTAGTATTATGCTAATGACATTCGGAACCATTTGGATTTTTAAGGATTCCCTCATTTATCACACCATATTAATTTACATTTTAAAACTCTTCTAGGAAAAATTTAAAATTCAAATATGGGATAATAATGTTATATTAAATTATGGCTTCAAGAAAAACAAAATGTATCATATATTTAAATTGATTATAATTTATATGTAAAATGTGGTTGAGATGCAAATTTAGTGTCTCGTTCAAGACTCGAACGACCTTCGGCTTTCATCTGAACCGCTCTTTACGTAAAAATTATAAATCAATTTAAATCATCACTGATTATTTGGAGTTGGTGAGATGTGCTCTTGTTTAGAAAAATATTTTCTTTATCGTGCCACTGTTTCACGTGCCACTAGTAACACTACATCAATTTTATCAAACCCAGACAAACCAACATACATATGCATTCCATTCGTTTTGCGGTCTATCCCCCAAATTAAACACATTTCTTTCTACTGATCACTTTAAAATAGCCTACTAAAAACTATAAAACAATTCACACCCTTTTTTCTAAAATTAAAGATCTCACAACAGCAAAGCCGGGAACACACTTACCCGATGCAACGCCATGTAACCCGATGTTACCCGACGCGTTGCCACGTTTTCGCAGGTTGTGCACATCAATACGACGTCACGTACAGTCCACAGCGTGGGTCACAAATCAGTATCACAATCGCAACGCCTCTTTTGTTCTTAAAGCCGGGAACATACTTACCCGGTGTTACGCCATGCGACGCTATCCGATGCTACCCGACCCGACGCCTTGCCAAGTTTTGGTGGGGTGTGCACATCTATCCGACGCAAGCACACGTCGCGTACAGTCCACAGCGTTTATCACAATAATCACTATCACAATCGCAACGCATCTTTTTGTTCTTAATGCACTATTTTGAGCAAAACCTTGTAATAAATTGTTAGTTAAATTTTCTAAGCACAACCATCTAATAAATTGTTTGTTAAACCTAATTGTTTTAAATAAAGTTACTCCTAACCATCATAATTAAACAATTTTTATAAAAACTTATGAATTTGGTTTACATTAAAATAACATGTTGTAATTAATATAACGACAAAATTACATGTACTTAGTTTGAAATAAACTACAGAAAATATGAGTGTACTGTTCTGATGCTACCCGACATTAGAAAATGGTGTAATTTTATGAGCAAAACTGTGAAATAAATTGTTAATTAAATTTTATGAGCAAAACCGTGTAATAAATTGTTTCAATTTTAGTATATGTACCGCCGAAACGAGTACAATAAATTGTTAGTAAAATTCATTATATCAAAAAATCGTATTCCGGTATTTTGATTAATTTTCTACCAAACCATTAAAATTAATTTTTTAAATAAAAACCAATTATTTTTAATCGACAATAATACATGTAGTTTGAATAAAAATATGAGTTCCGTTCTTTTGTCTTCGACTGTACTCGATGCGACCCGACGAAAATCTGGACAGTGGGGATCTCAGAGCGTCGGGTAGGTTAGCGTGGCATAGCATCGGGTAGATGTGCACGGGGGTAATGCAACCTTATGGAAAATCGGAGTTTGGATTTGCGTCGGGTAGCATCGGGTAGCGTCGCATCGGGTAAGTGTGTTCCTGGGTTAATGCATTATTTTAAGCAAAACCATGAAATAAATTGTTAGTTAAATTTTATGAGCACAACAATGTAATAAATTGTTAGTTAAATTTAATTGTTTTAAATAAAGATATTCCGGTGTTTTGATAAATTTCTGCCTAACCATCATAAATAAATAATTTTTATAAAAACTCATGAATTTTTGATTTCGGTTAATTTGGTTTATATTAAAATAAGTATGTTGTAATTAATATAACGACAATAATACATGTAGTTTGAATAAAAATATGAATGTTTGATTCTTTTGTCTTCCACTGTACTCGATGCGTTTTTAAATTTTTCCGATTTTCTCGAAAATCTAAATTAATAAAATGTTTGGAAGGTAAATACAAACAAAATAAATCGAAAATGGAGCTTTTGTAATTAAATGAAACTTTCATGAAATGAAATTGGCGTGAAATGAAATTCAAAACCACAATTTTCTAAAAACACGATGTGAAACCCGTAAACTCATATAATACTTTTTGAACTTTAATTAAAATCTTCTCCTGGGCTTTATTAAACTTGAAAAAAATACTAAAAAATATTTTCCCACAATAAAATATATATCTGTTTATTAAAAAAGGTCTAAAATAAGTTTGCTCATCGTAAGGTTGAAATGATGTTTGTTCATCATTATATTTAATGATTATTTGGAGATCGTGAGATGGGGTCTGGTATGGCGTAGGTTTAGAAAAAGTCTTCTTTTTACATACACACAATCTTCTTTTTTAATAAAATTTCTTTTGTGGTGGCTCCCTCGATTTTTTAAGAATTGTGTCTAGTAAATGTATATATAAATTTGGAAAATAATTGAAATATTAGTGTACTAAAATATAAAAATAATTTAAGTAGCCAATCCTGCAAAATTTTAGATAAATAAAAATAAAATTCATTATCAAAAAATTATATGTAAAAGAAAAAAATATTATATATTCTTTCTTATGACGTTACGCGTCGTCAACAAGTTAAATAACACATTCTGCTCAATTTTATGCTCTCATGTATTTATATATTTTAAATGTACAATGTATAAATAAATAAATGATTAAAAATGTACATAATATGTTGTTTAACTTGTTGACGACGCAAAACAACATAAGAAAGAATATTTGAAATATCATAGTCTATTGAAAATTATTGTAACCGTCAGTGTTGATTTTCATTGGGAAAGTAAGTTATTTTTCTTAATTGTTAACATGTTGTTTTTACTATATGATCATTTTTTTTGTATTTTAGCTGAAGAGGGGAAGCGAGACAGTACCACGAAATCGATACTTTTTTATATATATAAAAAAATAATGAGTGCTGAATTTTATGGAAAAGTGTTTTTGGTTGACTAAGTCTGTGGAATAGAGTGGATCAAAATAAAAAATACAACAAAACACAATGTGAGTAGAAATACTTTGATTGAATATAAAAAATATATTTTGCATTGTATAAATTTACTTTTTTCCACATCCTACATGTATTTGTTACATTTAAATAATGTTTGTAAATCCCAGGCCCTGAAGATGATCTCAATAAAGATCGAAACGTTGGAACGATAAAGAAAGTGTTTTTCTGAAACCTACATCACACCAGACCGCAACTCACGCGATTTCTGAATAATCATCGACTAACGGTCACCAATCACCACACATAAAAAATACATAAACATCACCTTTCATAGATACTTACCCAGAATACAAGATAGAAGATGATTTTCAATTCAGTCATCTTTTAATGATGAAGTCCATTTACGTTTTTTCTGCAAGAAAAAAGAACAACAACCCCCCACCTCGAAAAAAAAGAACGTACCATTATTTTCGATATAATTGATGATCAGCCTTCAATAATAATTATCGAAAAACAATCCAGGCTAATTAGAAAGAAACTCACATTTCCCCTTTTCATGACTTTTTAACGTTAACTAATAATTTAAAATGTTAACACAATTTTGAGATTTGATCTGTTGTTATATTATCTCAATTTTTAATTTCATTGAACTATAAGTTTCAAATGTATGAACACATAGTTAGAATTGTTATTTTTTTAAATTGTCAGTTATTATTATTATATTATTTTTTTAACGGGCGTTCAAAATATATTTTTGTTTTGTAAGTATTTTGAAATAATAATTTTTTTCCGAGGGTTCGAACAGCAGAGGCTATATCAACCCTCGGGGTGCCGGTGTTTTTGAAAAAAAGCCCATTTGTAAAGTATGACGGGTTGGAATGCAGGGCGGCTGGATTCGAACCCGGGACCTTTACCTTACAGAGATGAGCGCCGTGTCAACGCCTCCGTTCCGGCCACCGACGCCCCAAGTTAAATTGTCAGTTAAAGTTAAATCCCTAAATATAAAAGGAATCGAAAGCTCGACTAAAATACCGAGCTTTTTTTTCAAGTAGCCCTCATCGTTGTCGGTTTTTAATACATAAAATTGTAGTTTAAAATTATATATCAAAATCCTTGTTCAATGACTGAACCTTTGTTAATTGATCAAGAAGTTTATTAAAAACCTAGCTGCTTAAAGCAACGAGGACAATTCTTCAAATGTATCATTGACACCTCATAAAATTGTCCCCATATCAACAATGTTATATAAATAATTTCAATTGCGTTAAAAATTATTTCACTGAAATTGCCTATTTTTAGCAAAAAAAGGTAAAAACTGTTCTTTTTGGTTTTATTTTTATAACAGTTCTATGAGAAAAGGTAATCGTAAATTGTGTTAGTTTTTGGATAATATTTGCCAGCGAGTTTCCTACTGCATCCGAGGAGACACCCGGGCCATCCGACGGCCAGCGAGATCATCACCAGCCCCGAAACGATAAGAGAGATCGTCAAGAACATTCTATAAGTCACGCATAATTTAATTTCCACTAAGCCGTTTTCGTAAGTCTTGAACGAGACAGTTTTATTTCCGAAATTCTCCGTGTCCGTTATAGGTTGCTTGCATCTGTAAACATAAGACTGAAGATGGATAGGGGAGACTGTTTGAAAAATCACCTTATGCAATTTTCGGGTCGCCAGAATTCGTCAATCTCTTTTCCTGGAGACGCTTGGACGTACTGTGACCTAAAAAGTTTCCCCGGTGCCAACTTTGAAGACAAATGCTCCTTTTCCAGCAAGGGTATCTTGTCACGAGACGCATCACCCTCTAACAGATTAATGGTCGTCTTCTTTGTACTACACGTCGATGAAGTTGTACTAGTTGAAGTCCTAGAAATAAAACCCAGTTGGTAGTTACTAGAATCTTTTTTAGAAAATACCCGTTAACAAAAAATATAATATTTTGATGAAAAGAATAAACTGTAAGACATAAAAAATCTAATTAACAATAAGACCCTTTAATTTTCATAATTATTTAATAAGTAATTTGTATTTAAATACAATAAAATCTTTGGTTCTTTCCTCTATTACTTATTCCATTATTAACTGTAAAACGTGGTTTTGATGGAAATCTTAATTTAGGGAATTATCAACTATCCCATACTTGAACATTTCCACGGGTGTCAATTTGATAATTGCCAAATGGAACAAAAAAGACCAAATCTCTTCTGACACAAGGGAAGCACTAATGAAAAGGATGCTATACTAGGGATGAGCATCGATGATCACTATCGATTAAACATCGGAACCTCACCATCGATGGTGGTACGACCATCGACTCTACAGTCCACCCATCGATGGTTTTTCGTGTACTTTACTCAAAACACAAATTATTTTCATATGCATACATTATGTGCCACTTTAGAAACATAAGGTAATTTTTCAAACTTCGCCATTTCTGAACCTTTATTCAGGAACTTGATTTATAAATTATATATATTTTTTAATAACATTTATTAGGAATTATTTTTGCTTACATATTTTTTATAAATAGCTATAATTCTAGTCAAAATACTCTGTGATCATAAATGTTACCTATAAGATTTTGCTGTTTTATGTTTATATACGTTGAAGGGGTGGAAATACCGACTTCCTTCCCCACCCCTTCAAAATCCAACGTAAACAGCGTAAAAGAGCAAAATCTCACTGTACTCTCAACACGACACGCAAGAATGGCATAATTACACAGAAGACAAACAGTGAGTAGAAATACTTTGACTGAATATAAAAAAATATTTTGCATTGTATAAATTCACTTTTCCACATCCTAAATGTATTTGTTAAATGTAAACAATGTTTGTAAATCCCATGCCCTGAAGATGATCTCAATAAAGATCGAAACGTTGGCACGATAAAGAAAATGTTTTTCTGAAACCTACATCACACCAGACCGCATCTCACGATTTCTGAATAATTATCGATTAACGGTCACTAATCACCACACACTTATTCATATGGATTTTTATTAGCGAGGTACTGTTAAATTTTATTATAAATTATTGTTTTTGTTAATTTGAGTAGTGTATATTAATAACTATTTATAATTTTATATAGATGGCTATTTTCATTATGTTAAATGTAGTATGCTGGCCATGTGCTGCATAACTTTTAACCCAAGACGTTTTTACAATAGTTTTACCATGTTAATCGTTTTTTTGCACTCTTGGGAAAGTATGTACATTATTTTATTTTGTTAATTGTTAATTATTTATTTTGTATATATTTTCATATTGTTTAATTTTTAATAAATTAGCCCTGATGATGGCAATATAAGTTGCCGAAAGCTTGGTGAACCGAACAATTAGTCTTCTTCTTTCTTTACCTATTTAATGGTAAGTAATTATTAACCTCCATGAAGTTTGAAACTCCACATAAATTATTTTTGCCTTTGGTTTCATTTATAGTTGTATATAAATCTCTTGGTCCCTTTTACATAAAATACGTCTATTGTTAAAGTATTTTGTTCCTGTGAATTTTACTTAAATTCCGCTGTTTTTCTTCGTTACTTTGGAAAACATCCATAATCTATCGAAGCCCAAGTCCTGTCCTCTGCTCAACAAAAAAAAAAAAAAAAGGTAAGGGTTTAACATCTACGTAACTAAAATCAACCATATCCTTAATTTATTAGAATTATTGTATTCAAAACATCTCCGGAACGCAATTAAAAAAAACGTAGCTTTAAAACCAATTTATTTTCTAAGCGATTTATGGTTTTCCAAATAGTCCACCTTTGGAAAACAATCGTTCAGAGGGAACAGATTCCATTAAGGCAACAAATTGAACATCTGACAGGTGCTGATAGGTCACGTTTATCAGAAGAATATGGGTCATACCCTGTTCACAAAAGTGTAAATTAGGAAAAACTGAAAAAGTTTATAAAACATTGACAGGCCACCATCGATTGGCAAAAAACTCGACATAGTAGCATCGATGTTGAAAAATCGAACATCGGTCGCCTACCATCGATGTTTTCGAAGCATGCCCCTGCCTTCTGAAAGTGCGTGTAAACTGTGGTTAAATTACACGTAGCACATTGTTATTTTTTTAAGGATATGACTCGCAGAAGAAGGGTCATTCACACCCAATTAAGGAGGTTGATACAACGACACTAGCGCCAAAGCCCGAGGAAGGTACTAGGGATGCTCGATGTGTCTCTCTTATTTGAAGGGAGTTTCTTTTGGTCTACATAGAAGAGCGTCTAGTCTATTCTACCCGATATGAGAATGATGCATGAGCATGACAGCGCGTATTTGCTTCCGCTATTTCGATTCTTGGAGGAAACAGTACTGGCGGTTTTGTGTTCGTAGCGTGTGTTGAGAGTGAATGTATTTATTTGTCTGAATGTAGTGTAAAGGGTGATGTTGGAATATTCCATATTCCACCACTAAATTGAGTGAATTTATCTAAATAGGTAATAATGAGTAAAAAAATGAATTAGTTTCGATCTAGGAACTTCATGCGTTGGGTGCTGAATTATAACTTAGAACTATCGCTGTTGACAGCACCCGGAGCCCAACCTCGATGGCTGAACGGCAAACACCAGTGATGGATGAGGCCAGTCGGTACTTTATTGTAAATTAAAAGCTAGAATTGGCGGTGTATTGTGTGAAGTGATAAACTTAACTCTGTAATTGTGTGTACATGTTCGTATATATGTTCATATATGTGCAGATTTGATCTTATATGAATCCAAACATTTTATATACCAGCTGACTATGACGGGCTAAAATTGAAAATTTGCAAGCTTAAAATTGTAGTGATCAAATCCAAAGCATACAAAATATGATTAATTACATGTGCAAAAGCATGAAATATATAAAAAAATTTCCGGTTTATCCTTAGAATCTGACTACTCCTATAAAAAGCAGTTTTTGCGAATGCACAACACTGTAATTTCTTGTAATAATAGTAATTCTTGAAATTGTGATGGCAATGAGATTTTTGATTTTCATATAAAGTAATTGTTTACATTCTTTTAGTGACATGTTGCATAAAATTAATTATAAGCAATGAAACCGTCAAAATATGATGTAAATATATTCAGATGCTTCTGAAAATAACATACGGCGCATTATTTTTCCTTAATTCCACAGCATTTATCATTCAAATAGCAAACCTATTTTACTATTTTTCACCAACGACTCAAGACTGCTCAGAGCAGCCTCTAATCTGTTTTGTTTTTGCTTATACCAAAATCGATGTTTAAATTTGTCATTATTTTCGTCTCTTCGTTTTCTTAAATAACAGCTTGTTCTTCATCTCATAGAATTAGCCTGGTCAACGACACCATATTTGTATTTTTTGTCAAATTGGTTTTCTTACCTGATTTTGTCATCTCCTGACTCTGTCCCTTCGGTTGAATCGTCCTGGGTTTTGTATCTGTCGGAATGGAACGGCGACTCCCTGTTGATGGCACGCATGAACCGCGGCGAGACCTCCGGGACGTCCGGATATGTCATGAAACTCTGCTGGTAGCTGCTCTGCTTGAATCCGGGCAACGGCTCGCTCATGATTGATATCGTCTCTTTCTCGGGGCGCGCGTGGCGTACTGAAGAGCTCGCCAACTTGTCCCACGCCATTGCCAGGATTTAAGAAAAAAATACTCCTCTTAGGCTAAAGCTAATATTTTTTTCCTCACGATAACAAATAACAAACACGGTAAAGACAAATCAGGTGTTGAATTATTTTAGAAAAGAAAAAAAACAGCTTAAATAAGCGTGACGCAGAAATTTGAGCGTCTATGTTGAGAAATCGATACTTTGTGTTTTTGCCATCACCGTATAACGCGAGTTCACTCCTCCCCAAGTTCTCGACAAGGCACGAAAAGAGCCCCGCTTTAGAAACATCACCAATTTGTATGATAATACGGTGTAGCAATTAGGCGAGTCTTAAACTGAAGAGTGATTAAACAGGAGAGCATGTTTCTGTCTCACCACCTTGGTAAACATCTCTTATTTTCCAACGCTTGCTTTTAAATAATTCAAGCCCTACCCGACTGTCTAACTAAAGTCTGACGAGATAAGGTTTAACTGAAAGCAAATTATAAACACGATTTTGTTCTAATTCTTCGCTAAAACGTCGTTTCCTCGTAATCAGTCGATTTTGTACTTTTGTAAATATTTTTTAAGTATTAAATATAGCCATAAAAGAGCCATGCACCCTTTATTTATCCTTATCCTTTTTGCAAATTCATTTATCCTTTTAAAATTATTGCGAAAAACATTAGGCATAAATAAAAAATTTGAGGAATAGTTAAATTAAGTAATGACTGCGCTGGGTCTAGAAGGGAAAGGATACTTGCCAGACTGCGCATAGGTCATACCAAGACTGACCTATGGACACGGACAGCTTCTAATGGGGAGGAGACCATGTAGGTGTCCTTTGTGTGAAGAGCTTGACACGATAGAACATATAATAACGGACTGCAAAAGAAAGCAAGACACGGCTGCAGGCACAGATCGCAGTTCAAATATCTCAGGGCCATAAATATTTTTAATAGGATCTTCGTGTCTTCAGTTGCATTTATTTGCTTGAATGGAAGGCCTATCCCCCTTTGGTGATTCTTCGCCATGCATTTTATCAGAACTTCTTTTGTACGAGATAGCCCTCAGATCTTGCATAAGACGCTCGCGAGTTTTGATATTGGTTGTGAATGCAAGATGTCTTGCTTTCTGGCTAACGGTGGCGATTTGAGCCAATGCCATGCTAACAGCCATTTCTTCAATGTCGGCTTCCCTGCATTGCGCTGTTATAGTATTTGTGGTCCTTGCAGCAAAAGTCAAAAGACTTTTTCCTTCCTTTGGTTGTTCGCCAAACAGTTTAAGGAAAACACCAGCTAGTGTTCTATGTGCGTCATACTGCGTAATAAATGCAGTTTGGAATTCGTCCCAGGTCAGATCAGGATGTACCACGGTTGTTAACCAGCTGGCAGTGTCTTGTTTTAAAGCTTTGGATAAGTGCATTATAAGGCGCCGTCCGGACCGTTCAGTTTTGTGCAAACAGCATTCCACTGTTTTAATCCAAGCTCGCGAATCGCACTCCTCGCTGCGGGGGTTGAACTCGGGCAATGTCATTTCTTGTCCACCGAGAACACGGTCGAGGAGTCGAGTAAAATTATGATTTTGCGCACTTAAATTTTGCGAAATGCACGTGGTCGGCGTCGGCATCCCACTTCTGATGTCGGGAGTTCATCTGTTGAGCTATGATCCCACTCATCCTCGGAGATCTGGCCCTCTACAAAGTCGGACATAATAACAAACACGACTAGTTAACAAATAATTTTATTTAGTAAAAAGATTAAGGCACGGATACACTCCCCACTAGCACGGTTAAAAAATATTACTGAAACATACTGGAGGTTTTTATTGCTTCTGCCCCCCGCAAAAAGTATAGAGCGCACTCCATGGTCTTTCTAAAAACTGTACCTCCGCGGTTAATTTAGATTCTCTAACCAGTGGGGAGCGTCCAAGACGACACAATGTGTTTGCCTTTCACAGTTTGGGAATTAATAACTTTATAATAATAATAAATAATAATTAATCAACTTTACAAAAATGTGATAAGTGAGACAACATAAACATTATAAACAATAATCATTGGGTTTCTTCCCTATCACCGACATATATATATATATATATATATATATATATATATATATATATATATAAACTAATTGGCGTATGACGTAGACGCGTTATCCACGCTCTCACTCATCTGCTGTTGCCTTTCGAGTTGAGTGAATTTCAGAAAAACAACCACAGCGGAATTGAATTCTTATTGAAAAAAAGTCTTGAAATTATGTCTACATAAATTCATACGTACCTTTAGCGATAGGCACAGGCGATACAGAAAGTGTCCATTATACAGATAGAAGAAAATGCTTCGAAGTCTGAAATTCGAGGTTTTTCCTATTTCCCACGGTTATCGTTATCCGCAATGATGCTTGGTATATCTCACGCGGATAGTCGTGTTCTGCCGAACTTTCAGCGCATCCAATTTTTTTCAATCAAAAATGCTCAGACAAATTGTCAAAGCTCCTTACTACATCACTAACCCTACTATCCACAACGACCTCAACATTTTTTTTTCCAACGAACTGATCCGTTCCGGTTTCCAAACGTTTCACACCAACCTCTCGAACCATCTTAACCCTACTTCCCGAGCTCTAAATTAGCTCAATTTGTTATGGACGTTGTTGAGTATTAGTACAAAAACATTTTGCTTGTTGTGCGTTTCGGGCTCAACGGCCCATCTTCATCCGTCCTAACAAATCCACATAAAAATGTAATTAATTTAAATACAAAAGTATGAGTACCTACAAAGCTACATTTCCATCCCGAGAACCCGCCACGTCGCCTTAATCGATGATGGCCTGGAGACCCCCTTGCTCCTTATCCCTCACACTGAGTGCCAGTATTTGCTGGTCAGCATGGCATGTGACTTCCAGCTAGTATTAGTGTAAGTATTGTGACCGTGTGAAAAAAACAATATTTTGAAATCACATTTGTGACTTGTAAAAATATGTAAAGTTAATAAGTAAAATTTTTTTTTCGTTTCGAGCTCCGACCTTACAAATCCACACAAAATTGTAATTAATTTTCACATATATATATAAATGTGTGTGTGTGTGTGTGTGTGTGTGTGTGTGTGTGTGTGTGTGTAAGTATATGTATATATACAAAAATATGAGAACTTACAAATAACAATTATCAAACTTTTGATTGTTGATCTTCTGATTTTATTCATTTACGTACGAATATGTAGAGTAAAAATAAACTAATAAAAAAATTTGTTTTGCGTTTCGAGCTCAACGGCCCATCTTCATCCGCCCTTGCAAATCCACACAAAATTGTAACTAATATATATATATATATATATATATATATATATAGTTTTAATTACATTCCATTAACTTGCGAAGAAGTAAGTAAAGCAGAAACATTACCGCTGATAGTGCACCAGAGTAAACAAACTTTTGTTTAAAGACCCCTGTGAGCTGTTCAGTATTTCATCAACTTCCCACAGATCGTATTGTCCAGAGCCGTAATGTGTGAAGAAAATGAATAGGAGGCGAATATCAGGAAATTGCGGCCGGCCAAAGCAAATTGGAGCAAAAAGCAAATTACACGGCACTGGCAGCGTCGGCGGCGTACAGTTCGTTTTCATGACTCTGTAAACATGGTGATTTTCCTGCCTGTCCTGCCTTTTAATCTGCGCAGATTACTTTTATTTTCAATATTTAGTATACACAGAACAAATATGTGTATTGAAAAGATACACTTGCTGTTTTTTATTCAATTTTTGCATTAAAAAATTATAACGAAATGTATAGATTGATGGTCCGTGTTGTGTCTGTAAATTAATGTCCATCGTTTTGTTCATTTCATAGTTCAATAAATCTCTCCAGAGGGAGATGCTTAAACATTTCCTTGTGCTGTTTTTCAAATAAAAAATTGTTTGATGTAATTGATTGACACCCCCTCATTGACCATACATCCTCTACAGACCTTCCTTTTTCCTGTATTGTTTAAACTTCACGAAAGACTCCATCCTTAATTCACGTAATGTTTTTCATTCTCGGTAATTCAGTTTTTGTCTAATTAATTCAACAATTCAGTAAAGTGAGTTGTTGATAGCATTTTCACCGACTCAAAATATAAAAGGTAACGCTTATGATATTCCCAATTACCCAGGAACTAAGAAATCATCTGTTAACTCAAACACTTACTACCTTCTCATTGTCTTTCTTGGACTCCTTTCTGACCGCGTCTTCAGAGTGATTTTTGGAAATTGGACTAATTCAATCCGATGTCCTACGAAGAAGGATCCTGGCTCCAATCATGCCCTATAAAACTTACCTATTAGTCCCAATAATACTGTTCCGTACTAAATATTAAATTTCTTTTGATAGCTTAAAAATGCATAAGTAAAATCGGTTTAAATAATAAATTGATACAAATTGTATGCAAGAAAAAAAACTTCAGTTAATATTACATAATTACAATAATTCCAATTAATTGTTCTTTTTATCTAAGGTTTTTGGTTGGGATGAAAAATTACTGACACGAGCGGGATTCGAACCCAGGACCATCAGCTCAATACGCCCCTGCTCTAACCACTTGAGCTATCGTGATTTCGATCTAACTCCTTATCGCAACCCACAACCGTTCGAATTTTTCCTCTTTTTGCCATATTTTCAAACGTCGTGTAATCAGGATTCGATTCTCAGCAAGTTATGGAGTGGCCACGGGACCGAATTAGTGTCACGAGCGAGATTCGAACCGACGACCTTCGACCTCGACCAAAAACCTTAGATAAAAAGAATAGTTAATTGTAATAATTAATATAGTCAATTATGACCAATAAGCAAATATGGATTAATTACAATAATGTTAGTTCAAATTAAAAAGATTTTACAAAAAAAGAGGTTTAAAACAATACAAAAATAAAATCACCAAACTTCTCGCGCCGCCCGAGATGTGCAATCTCCCCTACATTTTCATAGAACAATGGAAATCCTGGGACTAATCGATGCTGCGATTTTTTTTCTGTTTCGCCCAATCCGCTCTTTATTTTCTTCAAGTCAGACGATTGAGGCCCAGTCGACCCGAGTTCTAATTACTTCCCAGCTATTTATCGTTGAAGGAAGGCTCTCCGGCGAGACGCCATGTGAAAAACCTGGAGGAGTAATCAAG